TTGGATGGATCAACGGATGTGATCGACGTGAAAGACTTGGCTGATTCGGCCATCATGAAAAAGTTTGAGGTAAGGTCGCACTCATTCTTGTTCAACAATAAGTGAATTTATTTCGTTCAGTTGATTCAGACGCGATTTTATCGCCAATTATTTGTGGAGTTGACATCCTTAGCATTTCGTATATCGTTTCCACAGATTCCTAACTTATTCCCTCGTTTTTCGGTTCATCTGTTTGTTATATTGTTCTTCATTTCTGTAGTGCCCCGAACTGTGACTCTCCAAAAACGAACAGATTTGCTCTTTGAAATAACAAAATAAAAGAATTAATTTGACCGTGTTCATAGTTCAGATGTTAACGATAGGCAGCGGCTCAAAGAAGCGACTCACAGAAGCTCATCAACATAAATATCTTTTCTGGGATACGCAGCCAGTACCCAAAATAAGTTGGTCTTTTATTTCATCCTTATTTCGATTGTAATTTTTTTAATGTCAATGTTCAGACTCGATGAATTAATTTGTTTGCATCAGTCGATGGTAATGTTATAGAATTTTGCGTTCCAGTCTAAGAAAAAAATGCGAGCAATGGTATATCCGAACCTATTTTAGATGAATCGGTCACCGAGAATACATTCATTGAGCCACCGATAAATGTATCAGAGGTTCGTTCCGAGCCGTTCAGTCTTCCGGAAGCGTTCCGTTGGTGTGAAGTGGACATCATGGATGAGGACGAGTTGAAACAACTCTACACACTGTTAACCGAGAATTATGTTGAAGACGATGATAACATGTTCCGATTTGATTATAGCCCTGCGTTTCTCAGATGGTTAATGTCTATACTTTGCTTATTACTTGTCTTCATCTTATCTTACTTAGTAATCTTATCTTATCTTGATCTTATTTTTAGTAAACATTTTTGAACAATCCCCTTTATCACTTCACACGAGCTGCTTCCTGTGTCATCCAAAAATGTTCAGTTGTTGCATCGTGAAATCTCAATTTATCTATCGTTTTAAAAAATGAATAATTTGAGGGCTTTACAAGCACCAGGTTGGATGAAGAAGTGGCACTGTGGTGTGCGTGCCAAATCGAACGGCAAATTATTGGCGTTCATTTCGGCAATTCCATCCAATATAAGAGTTTATGATAAGGTAACTTCTCATCTCAATTTTCCTAAATCCGCTCGTCCACTAAATTCATGCAAAGCGTTGCGAAGAGTCTTGTATTAAGTTAAAGCTTCCGTGGANNACTGAGAGGTGTGTCGTCATCTTAATTGGAGTTTCAGCTGAGTTATGAATGATATTTGTATGATGAGCATTCAGGTGGTACGTATGGTTGAAATAAACTTCTTATGTGTGCACAAAAAGTTAAGATCGAAACGTGTAGCGCCAGTGTTGATTCGCGAAATCACACGTCGCGTGAATCAAGAAGGAATATTCCAAGCTGCTTTCACTGCTGGAGTCGTCTTGCCAAAACCAATTGCCATTTGCCGGTCCGTTCTTTTATCAGTTCCCTATTTTCAATCAGTTACCATTCTCCAAATTTATCTTTAATTTTCACTTCATTCATCTTCATTTTCTTCGATAATGTGATTAACTCCATATTATGATATATTCGTAGATTCTTTGTATTCGGTCGCTTACAGTTAGATGATTCCGGTTTTTCTTCTTGTAGATCATATTCATGATGAGTTTATTTATTGTTGTTTTCGATATTTTTTCTGCTGATGCAGAGCATTTGCAGTTACTGGCATCGTTCATTGAATCCGAAGAAATTAATTGAAGTAAAGTTTTCGCATTTATCGCGGAAGATGACCATGCAAAGAACACTGAAACTTTACAAATTGCCCGAGGTCTGTTATCTGTTTGTTGGTTAAAAAGCAGTAATTAGGTGAGNATTTTAGACTCCAAAAACGAGCGGTTTGGTACCAATGGAGAAAAAAGACGTGAGCAGCGCTTTCGAATTATTATCACAGTATTTGACACGCTTCTGTCTCGTACCAGCGTTCACTTGCGAAGAATTTGAATATTTTTTCACTCCTCGACCAGATGTCGTTTACACTTACGTTGTCAGGGTTAGTGCTTCTTTTGTCGTCGTTATTCCTGAATTTGATTCTCAACAATCTGCGATCAGTGGTGACGATAAGCTTTAAATTTCAACTGGTATTTGATGTTTCATTTCAAATTGTTACTGTGATTCAGAGTGACTTGTTCATAAGTTTCTGCTTGATGTTGTATCACTTGATGATTCTGCTTGATGTTGAGCGATCAATTGTAAGCATTGAATGATCGCATGAAATTGAAGGGTGATCAAGGTCGTGTGACTGATTTGATAAGTTTTTACTCACTGCCGTCTTCGGTGATGCATCATCCACAGTATAAGTCAATAAGGGCTGCCTATTCATTCTACAACGTCGCCACATCAGTATCGTTGAAGCAGCTGATGAACGATGCACTCATCATTGCACACAGTGTTCGTTACACTTCACTCTCATTCATTTATCATCTTTTCACTTTATGTTTCCATTAGAATCGGGTGTGGTAACTAATCAAGCCATGTGAATAGTGAAGGCTATTCACCAACCTTCCAACTGCATCATTCCAATCAGAGTATTAAATTAGGATAGCCATGCTCTATCGAAACAGTATCCCGAGAATTAAATCTCACTTGCGAATGTCATTTTTTACCAGAATGATTATGAAATTTTGTTGCACTACTGAATGGAATACTGATTATTGAAACTGATGAAGTAATCTACCCATCAATTCCTGTTGTAATAGTCACGCTGGAATTGCTCACTGAGTGTTTTTACATAAGCTGAATTTTATGACTATTTTATTCAGCTTATCAATGAAACGCCCTATTCACTGCATCTGATGTTACGTTTTATTGTTATTCCGACGATAAGGTCATTGAAAGAAATGCAATAAGCGTGATTATAGGATGGATTCGATGTGTTCAATGCACTTGATCTTATGCAAAACAAAGAATTCTTGGAAGAGTTGAAATTCGGAATCGGTGACGGTAATCTACAATATTATCTCTACAATTGGAAGTGCCCTGACATGACACCCGAGCAGATCGGACTCGTTCTTCAGTGATTGATTGACGGCGTGATTCTTTTGTTTCGTTTCGCATTTTATTCCTTTTCCCATTCCCGCGTGAGTGCCATTCAATTAATTTCATCCATTACCGCATGCTTCATACCCCTTTGATAATTCATTCTTTTTCGAACTCAAACCAGTTCGATGATACCAGAATTATTTTTGATTCTTGGAGAATATTTTACTCCGTTCAAATGATATATTCCATTGGGCATTCTTTTGTGAAATTTGCTGCATTCCGTTGTTTTCGCACCACCATATTTGACCCGAGATCTCAGTTTGATATCCAGCTGGATCATAGTCGTCCTAAACTACTGAACAATAAAGTGGTTAAAGTAGTTTAGCTAATGGAATCATAGTGGGATTCATGAGACAGATTCAGTGGTGATGGATTGACTTATTGATTGAGTGGTTAGGTATTGATTGAGGTAATAGAAGATGCTTTCTCTTATAATTTTGCCCATATCATAGCGATGTAAAAATAGATTTGATAATTAGTTGTAATTTCAATTCGTTCGATATCTGCCACTGAGAAATAGTCTTTTTTATTTGAATTCTTGACTTTTGATCGTTATTTTACCAGTTCTCGGTGAACAACATTTCAACTGCAATCCGGTATTATTTGTTATCCATACTGATTTTTCGTCTCTTATTTCTAGAAGGATCAAGTATTCGCGTAGTATTTATTATCATTGTTGTGATTTTTGTTTTCGAAGGTTTCTCATGTAGTGTTCTCTTTTGCAATTGTTGTTGTTATTGTTGCTGTTATTGTTATATCTGATTATTAGCGATTTTGTTATTATTCGCTGTTCATTATCTGATTCGGTTATTCGTTGTATTTGATTATTAGCTTAATGATGTTTGTAAAGGACAGTAAAAATGGTTTTATGTAACGATTGCTGTGTATGACTTTCTCTTGTTTTTGTTTTAATTCGCTGTCGAAAAAATTATCATAGTTTGGAAATTATTGAATTTTTGGTGGTGATTTGCTTTATTATGAAAATTATTCGAATGTTGATATTTATGATAGAAAGAATTCTCTATAGTTTTCCAATCAAACGAACTGTATGTGCAAATGGTGATGTCGACTTCATCTCAGATAGATTCGGATGCTTTTGATATTTCCTTGGAATCTTGATTCTTCTCATCTACCTTATAAGAAGTAATTTGTTGACGATTAATGTGATCGGATTATCGGTGAATTTGTGAAACTTCTTCGTTTGTGTTTGTTTTCTATGTTCAAATCGTGAGCAATTGTTACTCTGCTATGTCCATGATAAATTATGTTTGCCTTCAAGCAGAGGAATTTCTGTGCAAGAAGCAAACCCATTGCTGACTTACGAATCGTCGAAATGGGAAGTTTTCAGCAAATTGCTTTTCTGCTTTATTAGTAGCGATGGTCACTCGCTGTTAATTTGACTCATCATATTTGTTGTTTTCAGAGTTCATATTCTTCAGTGAAACACTGGTCTTGTCGGTGTATTGGTTTCAATATTTGTTCACTGTTCGGTTATGAATGTCTTTGTTTTTTGCTGTATTGAATGAAGTGCGAATAGGTGCAGGTGTTGAAGTTTCGTGGGAATGTTGTTTTTGTATGCTAAATGCGAAATGGATTCATTTGAACGTGATGATTTCGTTGAATTTGTTGTGCATCAAAACGCTTTCTTGAACGCTCAAAAGTTATTGATTGTTCTTTCTTTCTTGATCAATCGTTTATTTCTCAAAGAGTCATTATTTCGAATTCAATTCAGATTGTATTCGATACCTTCTTTTTTGATGTGATTTATTTTGTTCTTGATCTAATTGAAAGAAATTGTTATTCGATTAATCGTTATTTATTTATTTGTTATCGTTTTTGTTCAGTTTTTTTAAAACTTCTCTTCATTAATTGATTTTTGTTTATTGTTTTTTCTTATCTGACTAGTGATTATCGTGGTTAATAATGATCGTATTGAATCATTGCTACCATCCTGATAAAATTGCAAATAAATNCATGACTGCAGTCATTTTGAGAAGGAATCATTTTGGAGCTATTGTTAACTGAACATCGTGCCTATAAGCAACCGAATGGAAGGGTTTTGAAAGAAACATTTTAGAAATTCACGAAAATTTAGACATTAAAGAAGGTAGTCATTCAATTGATTGCTTGATCAGATTTGAAAGATCCGAAAACTGTGATTTTCGAAGAGTAATTGCAAAGGAAAACAGTTTCATTGAACGATTTTCTTTTCATACAACTAAAACGATGACGTGCGCACAATTCGAAAAAATGATTGTTTGTACTCGATTTTAAATGTTCACACCAACTATAATATAATGTCGAAAGGTGTGTGCTCTTGAGCGTTTTAGTGAAAATTCGATAATGCGTTCGGTGATTGCAGTCAGCGTGTAATGGTGTTTTTCCGCTATTTAAAAGGTTGCGCCTATTATGAGCTCATTTTGGGCTTAGGCAAGCCTTCATTCGAAATTGCTGCTTACATTATGTTACTTCCATTTCTCAATTGGTTCTTACATTGTGTTACTTTTTTTGAATCTTTCTATTTGCTCTCTTCCAATCGAATATCTATAAATATGTACCTATGTGTAGACCTCCTGATTTATTTAGTTCGTATTACATGCGTACTACACTCAATAAATAGTTGTGCTTTTGATGATTGTTTTGCAAATTCGAATACTCTCCGGAATTATGTTGAGATAACTTTGATTGAATTGGACGTTCAGTTTGTAAGTTAAAAATTACACGTAAGTTGTTCAAAACAATTTTTTTGAATGTACTCGATTCACATACTTTTGCTTTTGAGTTGGAAACATTTCTGTTTTTTNTTTTTTGTTTTGTTCAAATTATTTGCTGAACCTGAAAGAAATAATCTTCGCTTGCGATGTACCCAAGGATCATAAACTGCATCTTTGAGCCGTCATCGGTAATCAGTCAACTTTTAATTTATCATCGTTACTCAATGATACATTTACAACTGCGGTCATTTCGTGCGGTATTGTTATCTCAATATTACCTGAATGAATGGCCAACTGAATGATGATTGTATTGGCTTGCATCATCAACGAGCAATTACTTCATTGCTTCTTTCTGTTGCTCCTCGCTTTCTTCCAATTCAATCGCCAACTCGTTGCTTATACGATATCGTGACGGACGTTACAGGTCCCTTAACAATACGAGGGGATGTATACTATAGGTAGCCACGTATGATAGGCTTCAGGTAGCCTGGTGATAGGCGAAACGACCGTCAATCCAGCAACAAATGAAAGCTGTTTTGGCATAATTCGCTTATAATTCTGCCCAGTGAAAAAGCATTAATATATCGATCGCTTTTCGTAAACTTTTTTCGGATAACAATCATTGTACATCCAAAAATCTGATGAAAATTTATCTGCACTCTCAACCACTCGAATTTCGTATATCTTTATGCCACTCAAATGAAGAGAATTTTGATGGAACAAAAAACTTTATTCGGTGCCTGGATGTACTATTAGCCATTGCGAATGCTTATCGAAGCCCTCGAATTTTATCTTCCGGTTCGATTGCATTGTTCCTCCTCGATATATCGATCGCATTGCTGCACATTTATACTCGAGATTCAACGGTTCCATTTTTTCCCTCGCAGTTAACGCAAAAGCTTGTTTTTGTTCTTCTCGGAACACACAGCTGGAACAGCTATAATGAAAATCAAGCTTGAGTCACTGAATGATATTCATTTGAGGGCGATAAAACCTTCAGTTGTTCAAAATATTTCTTTCAGAAAATTCGTATGCATTTGCTGTTTGGTTGCAAATA